TCAGATCTGTTTGATGGCTGTATCATTGCTTTGCCCAGGCCGCGAGATCCAGCAATTTCTACCTGAATAATGTTCTCTTTGCTCAGTTTTCAATTTTATACCCTTGCTAGAAATTTGGACTCTCCACTGTCATTTCGACTTTTTTCTATTTTTTTCGAATCTTTCGTTCTGTCGATTTGAACGAAATATGATTCAAATTCTATAATTTTGATGAATTCGAGAGTTCAATTTCATATCTTGCCCAGAAAATATCTGCATTGGCCTGTTACCAGAAAAAGAAATCAATACACCTCCAGAAATTCGTCTTTGTTGTTGCAAAGTTCATCTAGTTTTTCATTTCATTATCAAACTGATTCGGATTTCCAATACATGAACGTTAATATATCAGTAAACGAAAAAACCCATTTTTCTTCATTCTCATCATACTCGTATTTATTTTTTTAGAAGATTTTTATCCCAGTAGCTGCAGATGAGTTCGAATTATTTTTATGCAGTTTACACCCAACAGTGTGACTGTTGGATGTAAACTGTTAGATGTAGTTATGAAGCAGATAATAATTTTATATTCTTTATTTTCATCATCAGATGTGTAAATAACAAAAAACCATAATAACGATAACTAAATTCACAACAAAACATTATAACATTCATTGATTCTTCTCCATAATCTTTCAAGACAGATTTTGTGGCAATTTTAATAAATAGGGGATTTATGTTAGCACAACACTTCCGAATGGTATTCTCTAAATCCGCGTTCCGTTTACGGACCGCGAAAGGTTGACCCGCAGACCTCCCCAAATATCGTATTATATACCAATTACATATAAAAATTCGTAGATGTGAAATACCATACATTAATCAATTAAAATAACACAAATAAAATCTAACTTAGTACGTATTCTATTTCAAGTTGTTCAGTTAACCTGTTTCACCTACTAATGAAAAGTTTCCTATCTAGCCTATGTGTGTGCGAATCAGACTGATGCGATTTAAATATTTTCAAATCTCTGTTATGCACACGAAACATCCATAGATTGCACTTCGTACCATTTTTTCGGAAATATGTGCGGGAGCATTCCACAGCGCACCACGTAGTTATCTTACTTCAGCGTGCTTGCTCCTGTTTTGTTTTGTTGAAACAAGCACGAGCGCGTATCAAAATCGATAGTGGTGGAAGAGGGAAAGCACTGAATGCAGACTGCCGTCGCAGCACAAACAACGGAGTAACCGGATATTAGTTTTATAATTTCTGTCGTTTTCGTTCGTTTGATATAAAATATTTCTCTACCTACCTGATATGGATCCTAAAAAACGGACAGTCTACAGTGAGAATAGGTTTTTGGCAGAATGGATTGAACAATATTGCTTTACGCTGACTTATAGGCCTCAAGCGGTTCCAGTGTGCCTTATATGCAATAAAACTGTCGCTATTGTTAAAAGTGGAAATTTGAAGCGCCACTACGAAACAACTTATTAGCAATTCCACAAAAACTTCCCTCTTGGCAGTCAGGCTCGTAAAGAAAAAATTCAGACATATTTCAGTTCTTACGAAAAGAATACAAAATTACTAGTTCGTTGCATAAGCGACCAAGAAAAATCCACAGAAGCGAAGAATATCGTTCGAGATTAACAGACGCTCACCTAAAAGACACACTTCGAATTTGCTGTTCCTCTCGAGAACCAAACTAAAAAAACTGGCTCAAGACCGTCGGTATAGTTTCTCACATTAATGTGAGATGGAATTTATTTTCGTGCAAAATTTTTCCACTGCTAATCGTAGTTTTTCCGTTTTCAACAACGCTCAAACAAACATTGACTTGTTTTTCTTCATTATACTTTATTGGATTATGTGGTTTCTTAAAACAATTGTTTTCAATATCATTCCAATATCATTTTGAATAGTTATAAAACTGTAAGTCAATATTTAATTTTTAGAAATGTATGATATTTCAGGGTAGTTTGTAACTGAATTATTAGTCGGAAAGATGAACAAATTGGATAAAAAATCTACTAAAAAAAGGAATACGAGTGTAATAAGAATGAAGAGAAATACGTTCATTCGATTACCGACATATTAACGTCCATATATTGAAAATTCGAAACAATTCGACAATGAAATCTGAGCAAATTTTTTCTATGGCATATTTCGAAATAAAAAAAATATTCTTCGAGGATTAAAACAAAATGTCAAATTTTACAGGTTCAGAGTAGCACATCACGAAAGAAAAAAGACTGTTTTTCATTTATTTTTCAGGCATAAACCAACTACGAAGTCAAATTTTCATTATATCTATTTTTAAGAAATGAACTTTAAATGGTCAAGCCCGTCTCGGATATACCTACACAGTAGGTTGAATGGACTGACGCCTATCAGAAAACAACTACTCCACTGCCTAATACCACGAACAGCGTTGGATTATATCCGACAGGCGTCAATGCAGGAATCTTCACAGAAAATTTACTGCATATGGAATTGGCAATACAACTGAAAGAGTCAACCTTCAATTTTGGAACGGGCACACTTGCAGACCTGTTTCGGGCTCCTTAGCCACTCGTCAGTGCAAGATAGTGGCCATCATCGACCTAAAGTCAAGGATACTCCATCCATGCATAGCAAACACAGGAATACAAAGAGTAGCGAACTGAATGAAAAAAAACCTGCTGGAATTAGTCCCTCAGAAAACTTGAAACAGTACTATTGACACCGAAAAAGAAAGTATCCCCATCTACTTTCAATGTTGAAAACATGTTGTTATCACCAAGCAGGGCTATGAAATACCTAGGAATATGGGTAGACACAAAGCTCACTTTTGCGAAACATAACAATAAAACCATTGAGAGAGCAGAAAAGACAATGATCTGCCTTTTACCAAACGTGGAGGGCCCTAGAGCATTGAAGACGAATCTCTATGCAAGTGTAGTCCACTTAAAGTTGCTATACGGTGCTCCATCGTAAAAAAACGTTGAAAACGAAAAGATGTCGCCGAAACCTGCAAGAATTCAAAGAACAACATCAATCGAAGTGTGCCTACCGAATCATATCCACAGATAGTGTTGCCGTCATAGCAGGGTTTCCGTCGATAGAACTCTCAGTAAGAGAAAGATCGGAAACATACCATGGTATATCGAAACTACTTGCTAGAGAAAATTAGATGACGAGATGGCAAAGATAATGTATATAGACGCTGAACTGAAGTTACATTCTGAATATCCAGGAGTGATTGACTAGAAAATGTGGTAAAACAGATCACTTCCCGACACAACAGACTCTCTCACGGCGTGATTGTTTCAAAAACATTCATTCGAACGCCGGAAAACAGATTCTGACATGTTTATACTAAGAAAACATGGAGCACCTCCTCTTCTCATGCATCAGATAAAAAAGAAAGCGACAGGAATATCAGAAATACCGAAATCATCATTGATGCAACAAAAGTGATGACATCGCTCATCTCGGCAGGAGAAGGATGACGAATAGCATATAAAACCATAAGCATCAAAGAAACTGAAGAAAAAGAGAACAGAGGAAGGAGATGAAAAATTTGGAACAGTAAGACTGCTTGTACGAGGTGAAGGTTTAAAATATTATCTCGAAGATTCTCCCGGCAGAATACGATGAACTGATTTTTGGATTTTGATCCGTATTTTGTGTTTTTATCCCCAATGGAATTTATTTCACGACGCGACGTTTTGGCAAAGTCTCATTTGCCATCTACTGGTGATGTTTATTTGGTGTTGGCTGACCTTACTCGAATCTACTTCTTATTATATAGGTATAGATGTTGATGTTGACTTGAGTTTTCTTCTTGCTTTACTTTTTCTCCCTCTGAAGGTTTGAAATGTTAACTCACCATCTAGGTATAGATGTTGATGTTTATTTGGTGTTTGGAAGCATTTCCCCCGTTCGAAATGTTAACTCAAAGATTCTCACAGACAAATTAGCAGACGACAGAAGAAAGGGTTTTATCGGGGTATAAAGGACTTGCACCCACCGGCCTAGGAGTCTCCAGCAGGCAACAGGAGTTGAACACCATCGAGACATCGCTACGAATGACTCACTTTTCAGAGAAAACTATGAAAACGGCTCACAAAATCACACACTGGACGCCGCACCTCCAGTCAAATTTGTTGAATCGAATTATTACCTCTATTCTCATAACTTACTAGTCCATATGAATATCGTTCTAAATTGACGCACCGTCAGGTTGCACGAGTATCCCAACTTTTTCCATACTTTTGAACCACAATGCAGCGCTAGCACTCGGCACATGAACACAGACTATTCGTGGCGCTACCTCTCATTTTCTGAGAAGTGGTCATGTTCCAAACCACCAAAACCTCAATGGCGCAGCGTTCACACACAGTATCATCTAACTATTTTCTACGAATGACTTCAATGAATGAGTAAATGAAAGCGGCTCGAAATAAAGGAAACAATTCTATCCGCTCTATGGAATGATTATTACGTTTCATGGGTTCTTCGCCGGAAATCAGACAAAAAGTTTTTTCTTTATCTTATATGAAATTATTGTGTATTGAAAGGGTCGTTGTATGTAGGAAAAAGTCTGGAATCGATTTTTTGTCAATTTTAGGACTTTGAAATCATTTAATTCAAATTGAGCAAGATTCTCGGTGAACTTTATATGTTCCTCAGTTTGTCTTCAGGGATTTTGGTAAATTGTTTTACGATACTGGCGTATGCCGAACACATTCCATTTTTTAACATAGTTATTCATCAACTCAGTATATAGGATTGCGTCCATTACTTCCTGATATCAAAGTTGGTAAGGAATAGTAACTTTTTCAGATGATCATCAAGTTTTTGAGTCAAATACCTTGGCCACACTCTATATTATATAAAACCGCTTGAGATCTCATTTAACAAGTGAAGTTATTTATTACAGTACCTCATCATCTCAGTTTGTATTTTGAACACCCAGAAAAATGCTTCCTTCATATTCCTTTGAATTGAAATTAATAAAATGATTGTGAAGAATTACGTTTTACTTATAGCGTCCTGTAGATGGCTTCCCTGTTGTACAGCTACGGCATATGGCTTTTCGGCAAATACTTCACCAACTTCGGTTAAATTGCAGTTCTTGCTGATTCTGTATTTTATTTCACTAGAATCATGAATGAAAGCATAATCCGCATCCAAATGCTCGTTAACTTTTCGAAATCCTTCCTCCGCATTTTCGACTGGATTGGAATCATTTATGGCCAATAAGATATGACCGTACTGTTCTCTTATTGGGTAATCCCACACTCGGTATCTGCTGTCGTCTGTTGAGGCATTCAAAGTAAGCTCCTTCCACATCCTGAAAAAATTTTTATTCATTTCAGATTCAGATGCTCATAAAATGAATGAACGAAGTTTTAGAGAATATGTAAAATACTTTAATTTCTCGTTAATTCAAAATCAATTTAGGAGAGGAAAACATTTTGCAAAAAATATCAAGTCTGGAAACTCAATTTGAATTACTAATTGATTCAAATCAAAGTTTGAAGTTGACATATTGGAAGGTTTGAAGTTGACATATCGGAAGGTTTGAAGTTGACATATAGGAACTTGAATAACACGAATAACTAAAAACAAAATAAATCCCTTTAAGGTATTAATGTATCTAAAATGAAGACCGTCGGACCGTTTGTATAATTTTTTGTTTTCTACCGAATAGAAGTTCCATTTCTCTTTCAATTTGAGATATTTGATATTTCTGTCGAACAACCCGGAATAATCTTGAGATTCAAGAGTAGTAAGCATTATTCCAATATATAATCAGAAAACCTGTTTTCATAGAGTTGCTAGAGCAACCACAACGAATCTCATCATGAACCAAAGTATGAGGCAATACTGGTATCTTTCATGCTCAGCAGCTTGAGGTATATCTAGTGAATGTTAGTGAGCTCCAAAGAATTGAAATAAATCAAAGGTAACAAGTTACTATCCTATCAAACAATTATATAAACTTGACGAATGAACAATTCTTCAACCCACAGTCTGCTGGAAAAATAATATTATGCACTGTTCATCCCACCACACCATCGAATGAATATTCACAACACCAAAGTAAACGGCTTTTTTGTTGTGACCCTCATCATCAATTGAACTCATAAAGAAAGCCATACACTGAAGGATATCCATAACGAATGTAATTTTTCTTGGAGGGATACAGACAAATAAATAAGAATGGCCTTGCCTTGAAGAGTCGTAGTTGCAGTTCTTTTTACTAGCATGATTGTTAACTGATACTTCAGAAGTAAGGTTAACTCTTGAACAAGAAAATTCAAATAGGAGACTGAACAAGGTTGAAACTGAAAACGAACAGATAATTAATAAGATAGAGGAATTGGATAGAAACTATAATGTCATTATTTTTGACTTGAAGACCAAAAATGAAGATTTAAAAACAAACTATATAAAGAATCAAGTGGTAATAATAATAGAAATAATAATATTTTTTTCCTCAAGACAGTTACAAATCATATGGAAAAAGTCAGTTGGTCACATTTAAAATACAATAATACGAAAAAATTTATTCCACCGCAAATTGTCACGACGAATATTCATCCAGTTTATAAAAATACTCTTCTGTCAAAAAGAATTTCAAATTATGTTTGAATTATTGTTTTGTCAAGCAGTTTTTCCTATTTGAAGGAAGATCATTGTATATTCTAGAAGCCATATGACTTGGAGATTGGTGAGTTATTTTAAATTTTCCAAATGAATTGAAAAATCATTCTTTTGTCTTGTATTCAAACTATGATTTTGTTTTCGTAGATAAACCCCAAAATATCATACCGTATCGTAGCCTACTCTCAACTTGTGCATAGTAGAGCTGTATAAATTGATCAATATTGAGTACATTCCGCTAATTTTTGAATTGAATGGCAATCGAATTCAACTTTGAAATTAGGTAATGGGAGTGTTTGATCCGAAGTAGTTGAGATCGATAGACCCGATAATAATAATACATTTATTTTCCCCAAGATGATAAAACATATAGGAATAGTCACTTATGATCTAAAGATCTGAAAAATAAAAAATTCATCCAATGTATAAAAAGCATTGTCGAGTAAATATTTCCTCAAGCGAGTTTTAAAAATAGAAATATTGGCGCAACTAACTATTTCTTTAGGCAGTTTATTAAAAATCTTCAGACTCAAATATTCAGAAGATTTCAAAGATACAACATATTTACAGAAGGGAATGTGAAAATCAGCGCAATTTCTCGTATTATAACTATGGACTTGTTGGATTCTAGTGAACTTATTTTTATTTGTGTAAACGTATACACACATTTCTAAAATTAAAATACTCGTCATTGTTAAAATTTTTGATGCTTTAAAAATCGGTCTACAGGATGCTTTGCTTGAGGTATCGCAAATAATTGCGATTCATTCATTTGATTGGAATGAAAACTCATTACATTTGTTTCGGATATGGTGAAACCTAAGTGCTTGTGTTTTCGAAGTATTCAAAAACAACCATCCATTCAAAGAAGTCAAAACTTCATTGCATTTATCACGCAAAGAAGATACCATATTTTCAGATATGAATAACGACATATCATCAGTGTACATTGTGGAGGATGCAGGTACAAAAATTTTATCCAAATCATTAATATAGAACAGAAATAGAATTGGCTCCAATATGGATCTCTGAGGGACACCAATGTCTATTTCAGTTTATTGTAAGGAATGATTGCTGACTGCTACATATTGCGTATTTTTGAGTATAAGTGATTTTATCCAATCTAGCCTTCAATTCCATGCTTATACAGCTTTACCAGTAGTATGTCGTGATCGATAAAATCAAATGCCGTGCTGAAGTCACAAAAGATTTCAACAGGGCATTCTATTACCTCAATATATTCTATTAGTTTTTGATAATCAGATAACACCGCTGTCTTCGTAGTTTTTTGTTCAAATATCCAAGTTGGTTTCTCAAAATCAAATCATATTCATGACATTGATCTATCTGAAAAACAATACACGAATACTTTGGAAGAAGTTGATGGTACTGTGACTGGAAAACCGCTAGAAGACAATGAGAGATTTACCATAAAAGTAAGATGTACAATAGAATTGTAGGTATCTCATTCTAACCCGAAAAAAAAATTATTTTTTTAATTTTGATTCAAGTAACTGAATTAGTTCTAGCTCCTGATATGGCATGAGAAGAAGAGAATTTGGAAGTGATGTAACGTCACGCAGAAAGTGATTAAAGTCCTTGTCTCAGTGATCCATTTCTTTTTATTCTGATTTTTTGAACCAGTAGATAATTTTGGAAAATTTGTCTCAAAATAATACGAGAATGATGACAAAAATATCTGCAACAAAAGAATAATATCAGTTTTATTTGAAACTTCAACGCAATAGACAAATATCCTTGCTAAGTGCATTTTCAAAAATTATAGAAAAAATTCTCTACTGCCGCATTTTAGCATATGAAGGGAAGAAAATTTTTACAGATTGTCAACATGGATTTAGGCCATCAAAATCAATAGAGACAGCATCCGCACATTTTTTCAAAAATGTATATAAAGAGCTAGATGATGGCAAATATGTTTTAACTCTATTTTCCGACCTATCGAAAGCTTTTGATTCAGTGGACAGGAACATACTGTCTAAAAAATTATATAATATCGGAATAAGAGGATGTCTCCTAAGCTATATCAATTCCTACATGGAAAATAGAAAACTAATTGTAAAATGTAATGAATGCCAATCAGACATGCATGACGTAACTCTCGGTGTTCCACAAGGCTCTATTTTAGGCCCACTACTCTTTTTAATTTATGTTAATGATTTACCAAATCATATTCAATATGGTGCCACCACTTTGTATGCTGACGATACCACTGTTACTGTGTCGGGTGTTACTGAGGAGGAACTTTACCACAAAACTCAGGTAACGCTTGACGAAGTGTATGCGTGGTGTCAAAGAAATAAACTTATTTTAAACCATGGGAAAATGGTTTTTATGAACTTTAACCTTAGGAAGCCATTAACACCTGGCTGTAATTTTGCTCTATCTGAAACAACTAAGTTCTTTGGCACCTTTATTGACAGCAAGTTAACATGGGAACCACACATTGACCACGTCTGCAAGCTGCTTAATAAAGCTTATTTTGCCATTTTACAGCTTAAAGACACAATTGCCAACAGGGTCTTGTAAGTGTGTACTATGCATTAGCTTATTCACATATTTCATTGAATATATTAACCTGGGGACGATCGAGTCATTTACAGCGCGTCTTTGTTGCTCAGGAAAGATTACTGAGACTGATTTTCAATATAAATCGCTTAGATAGCTGTAAAGAAACTATTATAAATAATAATATTTTTACGGTACCTAGCATTTACATCTATAAATGTCTGGTGTACGCGAAAACCAATATACTTTCTTTCAATACCTCTGCGGAAAGGCACATGTACGATACACGACATAAAAAATTATTGTCGATACCTGGGCATAAAACAGCTGCATTCAAAAACTCTCTATACTATAACTGTATTATTTTGTATAACTGTGTTCCTCAGCCTATGAAAGAAACGACGTTATCTTCATTTAAAAATGAAATAAAAAAATATTTGATGCTGAATGCTTTTTATAGTATAGATGAGTTTATAAATAGAAATAAATGACCTGTCAAAGGGAAAATAGGAGGAATGAGGAATCTAAATTATTTCCTCATTGTGTAAACTTTTTGTGTAGTGTAAGTATTTTGTTTTATCCCATATACACCTGACAAATATTTTGTTTTGTCTCATATACACCTGTTTTTTTGTGAAATTGACAAGTATAAGTTATATTATACAATCATATTTGTAAATATGTTCATGTGTGAAAATGTAATGATTCAGTTTTTATTCATTTTGTTACATGACTCTACATTTATTTGTGACATTTGTGATATTTATTTGTGTGTGATATTTAAGTGACGTGCCAAATATACACTATTGTATCAAATATTGGTAAATAAATATTCTATTCTATTGTAATGTTAATTGCCGATGTTCATTTTGAAATAATTCATACTATCATTCGTGAAACGCCTGGTGTATTCTATTTTTGTTGCTTTTGACATTTCGCTTATTCATATCGCAAAATACCAGACTGTGATCGAATGTATCAAAATGACAATGACACAAATTGTTGTTTCTTCATATAAGTTACTGAATATTTGATCAATTGTAGTGGTACTCCTAGTGTTAACTCATGTAGGCCACGATACTCTATTTTTCAGATTAAAAAATTCTAAAATATCACAGATTTTGTTAAATGCTGGAATAAACCCATCAAAAAAATCTGCGTTGAAATCACCACATAAAAAAAATATTCACATCTGATTTTTAAATTTCATCTAAAACGTTTTGAATACTGTTGAAAAAACTTTCAAATCTCCCGATGAAGAACGATAGCAACATAGTTTTTCTTATACTCAAGTTACCGATAATTATCTCAACAAAATATACCCCTCAGTAAAACCTTTGACCCACCCATAAAAATTTAAGCAGAGCAAAAA